GCTTGGAGGGATTGCTACTGCTTTTTCTTACCAGAAGAGACATAATTCACACCCCAAAGAATTGGCTGCTCTGGGCTTCTAGAGAAAGGAAAAGGCAGATGCACTCCATTTGGGAGTATACCACATCACACACACTCACACCCCACTCCACTCCACACCAAAGGAATATTGCTGAGCTGCAAACCCCATCAACCTTAACCAGTAGTCATCCTGTCAGAGATTGATGGGATTCACAGCCTGGCAACATCTGGAAGGCTACAGGCTGCTCACTCTTTTGTTATATTAATGGATGAGACTCTCTACTCCATTATTACCTTGCATTAAAAAATCCAAAGGAGACAAGATTCAAGTTAATGGCATGCTGTTGCATTGCATGGCTGTCTCATGCTCCACTGGTTCTGCACTTTCCAAAGCTTGCCTTCCTTTCAGGTCTTTTTAAAAAGCACATTTCCTAACAAACACCCTGTCAGACATCCTACACATTAAGAAGTGCCAAACATAAGTCCTATTTTGCTCTTTGTTTGAATCCTGTGTCAGCATCTCTCTAGAAGTCAGCAGTTCTGACCTATGGAAGAGCTATGATTCACTTCTGAATCTGCCTTAGTTCAGTAAGAAAAGTTGTCTAATCAAACTTTTCATTTCCACTGTTTTATCAGACTTATTTTCTTAAAAGTAATACTTCTGAAACTATTTTTTCTAGACTTACACAAATACTCAAATGTTTTTAAAAGCTTTAATTGTGGATTGTTGTAGGTTTTTCGAGCTATATGGCCATGTTCTAGAAGCATTCACTCCTGATGTTTTGCATGCATCTATGGCACCTCACAACCTCTGAGGATGCCTGCCATAGATGCAGGCGAAATGTCAGGAGAGAATGCTTCGGCCATATAGCCCGAAAAACCTACAACAACCCAGTGATTCCAGCCAATGAAGCCTTCAACAAAGCTTTGTGTTTGCAGTTATGAATTCACATGCTAATACCCTATCCCCAAAAGACGTGGAATGGTTACTCTACACTGGATTTTTATTCAACCTTTAAATGACCTAGCCAATGTCCTGAACTCATTCTAGGGACAGAGTTGAGCACATTGTATAGCTTCTTTAAAATTCAAATGAAAAACTGGAGCAGATTCATACCTGCCATCACCAACTAATGCCTACCATGCCTAATTCACGCCAACATTTTTCAGCTGCTCATCTGTCAGTTTCCCAACTGTACATTCTCTATCTGTGCAAAATCTAAATCCTACCAACCAATCTACTCATTCACTAGTAGACACCACTGCTGGCTTATCCCCTTCCCTTTGTTGAGACTTCAGACTTTACGAGTCATGGAGCATTTCCATTCTTGGTCCAAGGAAAAGGGGCTGTTTTTTAAAAGGAGTATTTATGTTAATGTTAATGTACATAGTATTTTTTTTTTTAAATTACAAGAAAGCAGATGGAACAGACAAGCTCCTCTTCTACTTTGTCAGTTTCACCTTCAACCAACGAGAGCATGAAGAAAATGCATGAGGGACAGGGCATGCAGGGAGATACCACAGATGGTGTTGCTATTTGTTGACAAGTTGCTATTTGTTGACAAGTTGTGGTAGTCCTATGAATAAAAAACCTCTAAGGTCAATTGCCATCAATTGCCTTGCTTAGGTCTTGCAAACTGGGGCTGTGATTTCCTTGATTGAATCAATCCAACCCTAATGTGGTCTCACTCTTTTCCTACTGCTTCCACTTTAACAAGAATTAGCATTTTTTCCAATGAGCCATGTCATCTCATGATATGCCCAAACTATGATCGCCTCAATTTAGTCATCTTTACTTCTAGTGAAAGTTTAGGCATGATTTCCTCTATGACATATTCACTTTTTAGCAGTCTCCAGTATCCATAAAACTCTCCCCCAGCATATTTCCAATGAGTTGATTTTCTTCTTGTCAGCTTTCTTCATTAACCAATCTGCCAATAACAACACCAAAAACCAGACTGCCAAACTATGTGAGAGTAATACGAGTGAGTTCATAATTCAAAGCATCGTGGCTCAAAAGCTTATGTCAGTGTCTTTAAAAATTATAAAACATTCAATGATACATGACAACTGGAATGAAATGGGGGGATACAGCAATATAGGACAAATGTTAAATAGAGTATTGAGAATGAAAAGCCAAAGTGGTTCTAGATGGGAAAAATCTGTAAATTGGCATGTCCTCTTGTGTATTAGAATACATGGACATTACAAAAAAGTTAATCTCCTCCTCCTCCTCCTCCTCTTCCTTTTTTGTGCGCTTTTGACATAACTCAAACATTAGCCAAAGCTGTGTTAGCTCAGTGACAAGATTTCTATATAGAATAGAGCAGGGGAATCTATGGCTCTCCACTGATTCTGCAAATCCCATCATCCCCTCCACTGGACTACTGATGAGAGATTCAGTCTAACCACATGCAGTTGGTAACCATATTACCCAGTTGAGAATTACCAGAGGTATGTTTGCGAGAATCCTTAATATTAGCTACAACATCCCCCTACGTTGTCTGGTTTATACCAACACCACAGTCTTTATGAATTATTTCTCCAATAGAGCTGTAAGTTCGCCCAGTGGGAGGCAAATTACGGTGAGCACTTCTCTCTAAAATTTGCACACATGGCACATTAAAAGTCTAAATCCAAAGCAGCAGAGGCAGCAAGCAGATGTTCTCAAGTGAGATTCTGCCTTCATCAAATTTTCAGCGCTATGCTGAAAGCATCTTAGGTGGATGGCAGACAGAAGTTGCTCCCTGGTACAACCAGGGCTCAAGACATTCCTGAGTTATTTCCTTCCACCACTCCATACTTTTATCCATGCATTATATGCTTATAGACAGATCCAGGGAACACCTTCTGCATCCATCCATCACAATCTTCATGGTGTGGAAAATTCACTTAAATACCCTTCACAATCCTTTGGTCATTGCTTGGAAGGACCCTTGTCTTTGTGCCCTGGAAGGCTGAACCCGGCAAATTCAACCACATCACATGCAGATTATGCATCTTTGTGAGGCTCATTTCTCCCTATAAATACCAGGCTTTTTAAGAACAAGAAGAGCAGTGCAGGCTTAAGTCCACAAATATCCTTTGCACTACAGATTTCCTTTCAGTGTTCGTGATTAGGATACTGTCCATAGTGCTTTTTCCTCTCTCAAAAATCTATATTATCTTTTAGAAACCTAAGCCTAAATGTAAATTGTAAATCTGTGAGTGGTAGATGAATTTTTAATAGAATTTAGCTTCAAGAGAGTAACACTGTAGGTACCCCTGAAGGGCTCCATCTGTGAATCATCACAGGGCTATGCAAGAAACAGAAGTCCATCCTATGTATACACTGCAGTTAAATCAGCCCTCAGATTTCCTATCAAGGTAAATGGGATTCTGTGGCAAGAAATGGATTCTACAGTTTGCTTCAGGCAACAGTTACATTGTGGCTGAGCATATATTGTGTACCCTAGATCCTAATTGTATGGTCCCTGAAGTCCACAACAATTCCCTAAAGCTCCCCAAATTAAAAAGTGATATAATTCAGGAGAAATGTTTGCCCTACAAATCATGCAGAAAGCTACTCAAGTATGTGCAAATACATAAAAGTAACCCCATTCCCCTAAAACTCCACAGGACCCTGCATTACCCTCATATGCCTCTTTTTCTTGACAATCTCTCTCAAAATGGAGACAAGTGGTGATGCCACTTTATCTCACCATTTTGAGAAGAACTTCAAAAGAAAATAGATTTAGGGTTGTTGTTGTTGTTGTTGTTGTTGTTGTTGTGTGTATGTGTATTGTATGTGTGAGGGAACTGGCAAATGGCCCTGCACGGTGGACCAGATATTTACCCAACAATAAATCCTATTTGACACAATGGGACTTACTTCTGAGTAAGCAAGAATAGGATTGCACCACTGACTCTGCAAAATAACTCTTTGGAGATTAAACTAACATGAAGGCAATTAATTCACAAGCCTTCCACAGAGACCAGTAGAGGCTGGAATTCTCTGTTGCTACTGCATAACTTTATGCATGCTTGGCTAAGTAAACAGAGGCACTAAGGTTAGTGAATTGTGAAGATGTGTAAAAGGACATCAGCAAAGGTTCCTTGATGTACATTGGACTCTACAAATGAGCACTGGCTTCCCTAGTCCATTTCCGGTAAGCATTAATCTCATTGTGCTTTGGTTTTTATGCACAATGGTCATTTCGCTGGCTCCCATATGTAATAACATCACAGTAGTGCCTTACTGACAACCACTGAGAAACTGTTTTGTTCCTCTTCCCACAGATACAAGTCTAATAATGAAGATGCAAGTTCTGTCTGTAATTATTTATCCTTTTCTTTCAGGGAACTCTTTCCTTGAGAACCAGTACTTTTATGGAATGGAGTGGCGTGGAGTGCAACTCACCAGCATTCCTTACCATTCGTCATGTGGGCTAAGGCTGATGGTAGTCCTAGCCCAGTAACATATGGTAGGCTAAACTTTGTCCACATGTCTGCTAAAAAGATAAAGGCCAAAGTAAGAAAATGGAGTGGCGAGGATACATGTGTGGGAACAAAGTACATGGCCACATTATCAGAGAGAGGTATCTACTTTGTGCAGGAGGTTGGAATTCCAGCTATTTGGAGTTTTACATCCCTACATTAGAATAATCAAAATTCAAAAGCACAAAATGAATGAATAATTGTCACTACACAAAGCCAGGCTGAATTTTTGAAGGGTACACTTTGATATAATTACCTTTATTTTATTTTCCAGCAACCACAAAAAGTAACTTTTTGGTACATTTTAAGTTACTTATCGTTACTTTTCTACAGCGGCTGACCAATGACCTTGCTTTTGCTTAGTTCTGTGTTTGCAGTTCAAAAATAACTTTTCCAAGCTCTGTTCCTAGCTTCCGCTTCAACCTGGATTTCCAGATTGAACACACGAACATGCCAAACCTGAAATATACAAGAAAATGGAAACATCACTTATTCCAGATTTACCTTCAACGTGGCTCCTAAGGACCTCAGGCCTGTTGAATGCCTGGCCAACTTCAGCACCCGGAATATCCTCATGAGGCGAAAGACTTGCACCACCTTGCCCAGATTCCCTAGCTCTGAGTCACTCCCCATGGTGACATCCACCAAAAGGGTGAAGTAGAAAGGCAAGACTGAGACAATATCAATCAGGTTCAAGGGGTGCTTGAAAAACTTCCTGCGGTTTGGAGCCAACAGCAAGCGGGCAGTCACTTCAAAAGTGAACCAGGAGATGCAAAAGTACTCCACGTTTTGCAACACAGAGTCATCCTTCACCTTGTCCTCTTCATCGGGCTGTTGGTACTCTGGCATGCTGTGGATGCACATGGTTGCTATGGAAGCCACCACAACACTGATGGAGACAAAGCTGAAGAGTTTGCTTGGGATAGAGTAGCCTGGGTTTTCCATAGTGAGCCACAGGCGCTTGCGTAGATTGCCACAGCGCAGTGTGCTGTAATGAAGCAGGTCATGATTGAAGTCCAAGATCTCATCTGGGGAGGTGTCCACGCTACTGACCTCACTTTCTTCATCCCAACTGTGATGCCCACTCTCAAGTTTCCGTTCGTGGTAGCGGTAGCTACAACAAGAATCCAGAAAAAATTCATTAATACCCCAGTATTCTATCTCCTGGCAAAAGGAGAAGACACACAGCTCCTCCATAACATGCAGCTTGCCAGTCTGGTAGAAATGGAGCACATAGAGGAAGAAGCCAGGGTTGCGGTCAAAGTAGAATTCCCTGGCACCCACATCATAGTCATCACAGAGCTGCAGGATGGACTCTTCTGAGTCACAGAAGAGCAAGCGCCCAAGACGAGTGTCAGGGAACTTGGAGAGGGCGCTTGAGCTAAGCCTTCTCCTCAGGCCCCCAACATTGATGTTGATGACCTCATCCTCAAAACTGGGATCCCAGTAGTTTAAGGTCTTGTTGACCATGATCAGTAGAGCTGGGGCTATGTTGGCCTGAAGATAAGATTGAGAGAGAGAGAGAGAGAGAGAAAGAGAAAGAGAGAGGATTTAAGACTCTCAAAGAAAAAAAAAATCAACAATCCAAACAATGTGGTTGGGTGTCACATGGGTGATTTGCATATCTAACTATGCTTCTTAGAACCATTTGTCAACTGATGTATCCCTTCAGCTATGAATAGCTGTGAACTACCACCCACAGGATTGAGAAAGAACTTCTGACATGTTATCTAAATAGTGGTGTTTTAATACAGAGCTGAGTCGCATATTACAGTACAAGGGTTTGCAGACAAACCTTAACGGCTGGACTTTCTAGACAAAAGTAGGTTTCAGAGGATAATTTTGAGTTAAGAGTATTTATTTATGTATTTATTTACTATATTTGTATACCATTCCTCTCAGCCCTCAGTGTTGCACTACCACCCAGTCTGCCTGCTCCTTTATTCCCCCTGCTTTGTTTGTGAAAGAATCGACACTATCTGGATTCCTACAAGGAAAAGTATTTGTATAAAATTTAAAAGCAAATGTAGTGGGTAGTTGAAGCATTACATATACCTTTGCCTAAAGTATGCAAGTGGCTAAGATCCAAAGAGCTGCTCACTCCAGGCCCATATGTTTTAGCTTAATAGTATCTGATCATTTTTCCCAGCTGAGATACGATTGCAAGGCAAATCAAACTGCTGTGGAAGCTCCCTTGCAATTTTAAAGGACAAGTTGTTTTCACAGATGTATGGGAGGGGGGAACACAGAAGACAAGTCCAAAGCGCCATTGGGATTGTGAAAATAATTTCAGGATTCTTTAGAATGCGTGACTTCTGAATATTGGTGAATTACAAGTTGCATCACCCTAACTAGTACAGCTGGTGAAGAATTATGGAAGTTGCAGAACATTAACACCCAGAAGACCGCATAGCTGAAGTCTACCACTCCTCTTCAATCATGTTGTTGTTGTTGTTGCTGTTGTTGTTGTTGTTGCTGCTGCTGCTGCTGCTGTGTGCCTTCAAATTATTTCTGACTTATGGCAACCCTAAGGCAAGTCCACTGCAGGGTTTACTGGGGCTGAGAGGCTATGATTCATCCCAGGTCATCCAGCAGGTTTTCATGCTGAATGAGGAATCGAATCTTGGTCTCCATAGGCTAACCACTACAACAGAGACAAATCACTAAATCCTTCCCAAGAAAGGAAGGCTAAGGAAAAGCATAATAATTATTTTGAAACCAGATGCCTTTACTTATGATTGGAGGATGGAACAGAAACAGAAGCTATTAATCTAACTGCTATTCCCAACTAGAGTAAACCCACTGAATCAATGGGATTTACATGGTCTTTAACTTATTATTCTGCAATTGAGTCAATGAATCAGCTATAGCTGAAAGTAGCAACTGGATTCATGCCAGAGTTGTAGCTCATATTAATCAAGCATGCTATTTTAATCATTGGACAAGATCCAATGAAACTGATCCAAATAGGCAGGTCAAACCTGATCTTTGTGTCCTTCAAACGCTATCTTTGTAGGCAAAACAGCAGCTCCTAGACTGAACAAAATATCAGCAAAATAGGTGGCAAAATTCCCCACAGCAGGCAAAAGATGACTCACCCCCTGTGTAAGAGGCAACAGAGAGTCACAGCCCCATTTACTGCTTTGAACAATCCCTCCAGATGGTACTTAACGGAGTAGACAGTAACAGGGATGAAACATTACCTTCTGTGATGCCACCCTCCTTTTACAGTCTGTTGAGAAACATTTTCTGTGATGTTATCCTCCCTGCACAGTCTCATATATTGATCATACTCAGCACAAGATGAATATCTTCTATATAATCATTCTCTAACCTATTTTGGGTTAGGTTCCTAGAATGATGTTGACAATAATGGCTATTATGATCTTTTCAGTCTTTTGCAGGTGAAGGAAGGGGCAAGCTGCTGATATAGCTAGCCATCTTCATACTAATGACAACTCCGATTTATCAAAGCAGAAAAAACCCCTGCTGAAACATAAGAAACAAATCCCAAATCCATGGTCAGGCAATGGCTTTATAAAGACTAGCCAAATAGGCACAAAGTGGAGGCAAGGCGTAAAGACGACCCGATTTCAAGGTAGCAGAGAAAACAAACTGGGTGGTAGGGCAAGTGTGGATGGGATGGAGAAGTCTGAAAGAAGGGAAGAATTATCACAGACTTAAGTAGAGATTAGGCTCTATTTCAGATTACATCTAGGGTAGCTGGAAGCTGGAGGAGAAGAGACAGATGTAAAAGGCCTGATTCCCTCCCAAGTCAAATATGTCACCAGAAATTGGAATTATACCAAATACAGTCCGGTATGTAAGTCTGTTGCAACTTCTTTTCCACTCTGCTCTAAGACTCTGACCATTCAGATTTCATGACTTGAGTCTCTACCCCCTTCCCTCTCTGCTTCACCAATGTTAGTTTTTCAAGATTTTACCCGAAGAAGAAATAGGGAGATCTCAAAACATGTTCCCTCCAATAACAAACATAGGTGAGGAATGCCAAAAAATAAAGCTCAAAGAGGGTCTAAACTCAGAAACACAAAGGCGTTGGTCCTGTGGTACAGTCATTTGAATGTCACTAGAACTTTGAGATACCTGGATTCAAATGCTATGCAGCCATGGAAACCCATTGAGTGGCCCTGAGCAAGTCACATTCTCTATTGAATAAATCTTGTCATGGTTCCAGAAGTTGGAGCTGACTTTAAGGCACACAAAGACAACAAATCAAGATAATGTCAAAGCATGTATTTTGACATGATTAATTAAGAGGTGAAATAAAACAAGAAAGGGGGAGAAAAGGTAGTGCATGTGTGTGCCTTCAAGTTGTCTGTTGACATATACTGAACCTATGGATTTCAAAGGATTTTCTTGGACAAGAAATATTCAGAGATGGTTTCACCAGTTACTTTCTCTGAAATATAGCCTACAGTACCTGATAATCATTGGCTATCTCACACCCAAGTATTAACCAAGTCTGACCCCAGATATCTTTTTCATGTTTCTTTGTGCATGAGGTATTTAAGCCACTTTGCAAAGTGTGCAGCATTATCAACAATAGGCAGCAATAACACAAAATACATTAGAGAGTAACAATTGAATAAAACCAGCCTGCAAAATCTAAGTAAGGTTCAAATATCTCTCTGAAAGCCAGGTTTATAAAGGAGAAGGCGGTCCAATAGATCCCAAAGATTCCCCCAACCATTATGCCAGATAGTAGAGGAAGTAAGTATATTAGCTTTTGGTCAAATATATTTGTAAGCCCACTGTTTATGTTTACCCGAAAGTGCAATCCTTAAAGCTCATGTGCCAGAAAAGCAATTTGGTCTATATAGAAGCAATTACAAAGTGATCTTTCAGATCCTGGACAGAAGAGTGTATGTGAAAGAACAAAAATATAAACTCAAAATGCAACATAAATCAATAAGCACTGCTGGCTATTCCAATTAATTGCAGGAGAAAAAAAATGTTCTGGAGATTGGGATTGCCCACAGTTCTATACATGGCACTTGCTTATTTCTAGCTTGGTTTTATTCTGTTGTCAGAATTCACTGCAATGTTCCAAGTTTTGCATAAGACTTATTCACTAGTCTCAGTTCCACAAAACAGTTTTTTTTTTCAGCAACCAGCAACTATCCTACTTCTGAACAATGTGGCCTCACAGTCACTTAACTTGAGAAAGATAACTTCTTGGCTTTTGATTTCCCAACAGATATGGCACCATTTTGTGGCTACAAATAACATTAATCTCAGTGGTAGGTTTGGAATTCTTTTTCAAGTTTTTGTTTTACAGTCCTTTCCTGAGCTAGCAATACCGCCTTTGTGTTTCTGAGTTTAGACCCTCTTTGAGCTGTATTTTTTGGCATTCCTCACCTGTGTTTGTTATTGGAGGGAATTATTATTAAGTGTACAGTGGAAATGCAGCACAACTGTGGCAAAGAGATATATGGAAATAATTTATCATACAGGTACACTTGGCTGACAGCTGAGACTGGCTGCAGCTCCCTGATGAGTACACAGTTGGTAATAAATGCAAATTCATTGGTGTAAATGGCTTTTAAAAGCAAGAACTTTTTGTGTCAGGAGAGACTTGAGAAACTACAAGTCGCTTCTGGTGTGAGAGAATTGGCTATCTGCAAGGCTGTTGCTCAGGAGATGCCCAGATGTTTTACCATCCTGTGGGAGGCTTCTCTCATGTTCCCACATGAGAAACTGGAGCTGACAGATGGGATTCACTTGCTCCCTAGATTCGGACCACTGACCTTTCAGTCAGCTGTCCTGCTGACACAAGGGTTCAACCCATTGCACCCCCAGGGGCTCTGAGAGAGGGAGTGAATACAGGGTTATGGCTGGGCAAAAATAGGTGGGTATT